GTTTTCTGATTGTTGCAACAACGATCAGCAAACAAACATTCTTCTTCCAGGAATAGATACATTGTAGGAATAGACACATTATGTATCTATTCATGAAAGCAAAAAAAGCCAGTATAGCTTGAGAGAGATATCTCTCGATCTATACGAGCTGTCAGAATGCCGGCAAAAGCCATCATCTGTGTCCCCTCTGCTGTAAATCTCAGACACCTGATATTAAGGTATCGGGTGTCTGAAAAAGGTTAACCCTTTCATTAATGAATGCCTCTGTAGTAAGGGCATCCATTAATGAATGTTAAAAGCTGATTCTCAGCGATTAACAGCCCTCTAAAGCAGCAAATAACTCGTCACGTACAGTGTACGTGACAAGTCATTTGGTCCCTTTGTGGCTGGACGTACAGTGTACGTCTCCCGTCACGAAGGGGTTAATGATGCATTGTCATCATTGCTCTGATTGGTATTGTGGTGGCCATAAAAGTAGGGATTTGTTATAAGTCTTGTAACAAAAGATCAAAAAACAAGTGATTTTATCATAAGCTAAAATATAGATGATGTAATACACAAAGTACTTTTACACTACGATCAACTAATCAGGATCAGTCATAAATCTTAAAGATCTATTACAAATGACTGTATAACAAGCAGTTCAACACACAAGCAGTCATTTGTCTTGAGTGATTGAAAATATTTTGCATGGCCAATCAACTTGGCAGAATCTAAAATTAAAGAAGAGTTCACAAAATCATTCAAATGAAGGGTCTTTGGCTTGCAATTTCTATTCAGTTTGATGGGTTTAGCTGCACTAAAGGATAAATTCAATGATCATGTTGATGGATGCATGGCCACCATTAGAGTATATGTCCAATGTAAGAAACCCAAACACCCTGCATAGCAAGTGCAAAGTAGCACAGAAGACCGCCAAGAATAATAGCCATTTACATTCACAAACTGCTTCACATTAGACGATCTTAACTGTTCAATCAGGAAAATATCTGTACACAGCCCGTCGTGTACTAATCATAAAATACATACATAGGCATCATCACTACTCTGGATGGTGTGGTGCCGCTGCAACATCCTGGAACGTGCATGCTCACTAACTGACGACCTGGGAGAGTATGGGACACCATTGTGGTCTGGAACGTCCATGGCATTAGGAGGGGTAACTTTGTCCATGCAGTCCACCGTAGCTCCTGGTTCTGAAGAAATAAAGAAAAACTGATTAGTACATGTCATCGCTGGAATGCAGCTATGATACCCTAACCACAAAGCTTGGGATAAATGAATGCAGAGATGCTGGACTCTACTATAAGGGTTTTCCACTTTTATCATAAAGGTAGGAAATCAATTGGATCGTGGGAAGTGGGGGATTATGACACAAAGTGGGGTTTCCAGGGTGGACACCCCTAGAGTATGCACCACTCGGAAGATTTGTGGAGGGAAGTAGATTTTCCATCAATTCGCGCAAAGGAGTGAATTACTCTGACCTGCACCAGAAATAATGAAATTTAGATTTGAAAGGGTACGCTTTAACATTATCAGAAAACGCTTGCGCTTGCCCGTCCAACATTTGGGCTTCCGTATTTCTCCCCACTGAATTTCAGAACACACACCCCTTATGTTTTAGCAATGAGATGAGGGGGAAGGTGTTCTTTTCGGTAGTCCATGGGAGGTTACATCAGGCAGGGCTGACAACACTGCTTGGAATTATGTTACAGCAGAGGCAGCATTATCCGCCTACAAAATATCCCTTTTGATTTCTCCCCGATATACTTTTGAAGTACCATTCCTTAAGGACAATGAATGCGATATTCAAAATTAAATGTTGTCATCAACGAAACCATTCCATACAGAGATATCATTTTATCTGACATTTCCAATTTTCTTCTTGGTCCTCAGCAATATTTTTTTGTGCCTAGGATGTCCCAATCATTCAGTTATGTTTTCCCAAGTCTGACAATCGTAACACTTTAAAGCCTTGGTGCCCAACCTGAGACGCTTTTGCACTGAATGTATCTTTTTAGGTCATTTTACTATTGATTTGATATATCAAATGAGGGAAAAGTCATTGAAGCTAGCTGTTGCATGGGCAGCAATAGGCAGGTGGTCCCTGGATGGAAGAGGGGAAAAAAAGGTGGACATAATCCAAACTAATGGCCAAGGATTCAGAGTGAGGAGACCAATTCAAGTCCCTCATTCAACCCTACAGGACACAGACTATTGAGGGAGTATATCCAAAATGCTTCTTGCTGACAAAGGTTCTTAAATTTTAGGCCTTCGTCGAAATAGTCAGGTATCATTTCGATTACGAAGACTTTTAGGCCCTCCGGGTTTGATTTATGAGCTTCGATGAAATGTCGGGGAGTGAATGATCGGTTCCTTTTTAAGGATTTTTCTTTTATGCTCTCCAAACCTAGTCCTTAAGGTTTGTGTGGTACGCCCTACATATAGTTTGACACAAGGGCAAATAATGCCATAAATAACAGCATGACGCACAAATAATAAACTGTTTAATAGGAAACGTTTGTCCTCCAGAAGAATAAACATGTTTTTGTGGCATAGGAAAAAACACGTTTATTCTTCAGTATATATTATTATACAATTTTATCTACTTCTTTCATCATGTCATGCATAACGATGCATTTTACATGCATTTGTATATACATCGATTTTTAAACGTTTTATATTGTTGTTCTACTTTATACATCTAATTATACAGTACTATACATTAATTTTTGTACATACTCTCCCTACCATGTTATGTATTATATGGAGCTTTTACATGTACATATATACATATAGAGTTTTAAACATTTATATCGTGTTTTAATCTTCTATTGAGTTTCTGTAGTTTACGAATGCTCTACATACATATGTATGCCTTATATTCACACATATCATTTTTTTTTATTATATACGTTTTATTTAAATCTTTATATATATATATCTGTTGTGGTAAGAGCTATAGTCTCCAGTCTCCCCCTTACTTGTTTACTGTTTCTTTGATAACGGAGCTTGCTATGGGTCTGTCAGCTCCTGTTATGACACACTGACAGGGACAAAAACCATGTCAGCACTCCGTCCGGTTTTTCGTAGCTCTGATTGGCTGGGAGAGCGGGGTTACAGGTCGACCCAATAGACCCATTTCAAATGAGGCTGAACGCAGCCCGCCCACCACTCACTCAACCACTTCTCATTTATACCATCGAGTCCCGTCCAATCAGGGACCTTTTGTCCCTTCTTAACCTTAGTGAGGAGGAGACTGGAGTCATTACCTGAGGAAGGGGGCGTGCCCGGAAACGCGTCGACACTCCTCCATATCGATCTGCACATAGGACATATCATACAGACTGCTGCTGCCTGCATCTTTGGCCCGGTCTTTGTACTGTTCTAAATGCCTGTTGACAATCCACCCTTGTGAGTACCTGTCAATTTATATTTTATCGTATTATTTGAATAAAACTGATCTGCACTAGGAAAAGGCGCCCCTTTCTCAGCTTATATTTCGGTTAGGGTTTTAAGGGTTAAAAAAGTAGCGAAAAAACGAAAAACATTTTTGAACAAACTACATTTTCACAGTGAATGTGGTTTTCATTAAGTGCCTCCTGGCCGGCCGCTGTACAAAACGGCCGGCTGGGAGCTTCCTGGATCTGAGCGGACGTTTTTAAACATCCCGTCAGCCACGCACACTCGCGCCCCCCCTGCTGTCCTGCTGGTTTAAGGAAACTCCATTCATTACAAAATCGAACATTAACATCAAACAAAATTTTGATCGATATTCATCAAGTGTGTAACGGCATTATCGGGTGATAAAGAAAGATCTTTTGTATGAACGGTCATTCAGAAATCTACTAATGTATGGGCAGCTTTATATAAGGACAGATCACTGTGAAGGTGCCGAGAAAAACCTAGAATTAGCCATGTCGCCTGCTGTAACAAAACACCTAAAAGCTAGTAAAAAATAAAATCACATTTAACGTTTACATTTATAAAAATGAATTTCTGGTATGCTGTGTGAATAGATACACATTACAAAAATGTAGATGGGTTTTCTCAAATTTGACTGCCAAAGGCAAAAGTGGAAATATACCAAGTCCTCTCGGATGTGTATATACAAAGGCCAGGACTATAAGGACTTCTTGAAGAGAGTCCAAGAAGCAGACAGATAACAACCCATTAAGATAATAAGACGAGGCATAAACTCATTCACCAGTGACAGCTGGAATATTTGCATGCACTTTGTAAATTTCCCTTTACGCACACAACTATTTCAACATTCAAACCAATGCAAAAGTAGTTCTTTAAAGTATATGTAAACCCAATCTCCAAAATCTATCATAACATTTATGTAATTTCAAAAATAATTTAATTTTTTTTTAAATTTGCAGCTTTTGATAAAATAATACTTGGTTATCCTGCCTTAAATGTATTTGTTCAGGCACTTGTCACCTTCTCAGTCACCATTCAGGTGGAAAATAAAAGTGGACAGTCCAACACGCATTACCCAGGTATGGTCCTCTGATATCTCCATCAGAAAATAACCCTGGAAAATGCCATGCAGCCATTAGTGGGGTGCATGAATGTAGGCAGGAAGATGCTGCAGGAGATCTGCAGCACTGAAATGCAACAAAAGATGAAAAGTGATTAAAAAAAAATCAATTGTTTATTTTACACAGTACCTTAGTGAACTAATCATCATCCAGTTAGGGTTTACATCTACTTTAAGTAACCAGGCAACTGACGGTTGGAACTATTTGTCCTTTTTTCAATTACCTCTGCTGGTCATCTTGGTCCCACTGTACGTATTTTGTGGCTGATACTGTTGTGTCCCCAACTCATGCTCTCTGATTGCTAGTGTCCCTAGAAGAGTTTCTGAATCCCCATGCCCAGTCTCTTGATGGGGTTTGCTTAATCCTCTTATAGTCTCTCCTTCGCCCATTCTATGCCCTTCTCCAGTACAGTCCTCCTCCATGCTCTCTGAATGTAGTAAAGATGGGTGGAATCTGGGCGGTGGAGGAGTAGGTGCTGCTTGATGCATACATTCTTGTGCGCGAATCTGAAGAAGATTGTGGTAGGTTTCAGGAGGGCTCTGGAAGGAAAGGTTGCCTGTGTCTCCTTGACTCAGGTGCTGGCTGAACAGTTCATTCAACTCCTGTTGCTGTTGCTGGTGTTGTTTTATAAGCTGCATAAAATCAGCGGGGGGCAGGCGTGCATCTGCATGGCCGGTCAGAGAGTGTCGTGGGGACAGCAGACCCTGAAGCATGTGCGGTAGTTGCTGGTGATGCCTTGTATATGTGCTAGGTGTGGGTGACAGCAAGGCCTGCTGCAGAGCAGATGCAGTGTAGTTCTGTTGGGGGGTTTGTGGGAATGAAGGGTACTGTTCTAGCTGAGGAACTTTCAAGGCCTGATGATAGCCAGTGCTACCAGATGAGGTGTACCCCGCACTTCCTTGTGTAGTGTAGCCTGTGGGGGGAGCCCGTTGCTGATCAGAAAACACATGAGGGTGCAGGTGAGACTGGTCATAGTTTGTCGAAGAAGAAAAACGGCCCACATTCAGACTAAAAGAAGAAAAAACGTATAATTATACAGGTCTGCCTATTTTCATAAATTGCATTAACTATTTTTGCTCTGATCTTTTCATGTTCTTAACAATAATTTAATAGTTTAATTTGTGCAAAACTAAAGTAGAATTCTACTCATGGAATAAAAAAAACCAAAAAAACTTGGTCTTGAGTAGCCAAACACATTACATAATATAAGGTAAAGAAAAATGATTTGATTTGACCATTAAAGGAACTGGTAATAACTAAGGATGGGCTCAGGCGTGTTCGCAGCTCCACGTGCCGAGCCCGCCAGGAAGCTGGCAGCGTGCAGCGCCAATCACAGGCACTGAGTCATTTCTCGATCTCGGCAGCTGCGGACTGGGAAAATGTCTCAGCACCTGTGATTGGCGCTGCGCGCTGTTAGCTTCCTGGCGGGCTCGGCACGTGGAGCTGCGAACGCGCCCGAGCCCATCCTTAGTAATAACTTGAACTTAGCGGCTGTCATTTTTGCTTTCTTGGATATGGAGCCTATGCACATTGGGCGTCTTTAGCTGCCTTGAGCAAGACTAGGCTTCTAGTGTGATGCTGGACTTTAAGGACAATAGGTTCACCTGCAAGGCATACCGGCACTCCTAAATCGTCACATAAATGGCCCAAGTTAGGAGTTCAGATAAATTACAGGTGCCTTGGAGCCGCAGTGTGAATTTACATGTATTTGAAAATGTATACAACTAAAACCTCTGCGTTTAACCTTAACTGCTAACACTGTTTAAATTAGGCATTTTGTGCTGACTGGCTGGGGAATGTTTGTATTATAACCACCATTATTGCCTCACTGTTGCTATTAACAGACAGAAAAGTCCTACATGGTCACTTACACCTCTTACACCATCACATTATTTCCTTGAATGTGTAGCAAATAATCTCTAAGGTCTATATGGAAATCTTTAAGACATCTGCTCTGCACAAAATGGGCTGTACACGGAAGCGCTCAGCACCAAGCTTCTAGGATAGTGGACTGTGGTGACAGGCAAGCAGGAATTCTGACACCTAATAGCTCTCCACTCAAGGACAAAAGTTCATTTTCTTATAGTTCTTAACAACACATACAAGTGCCCACAAGACCTTGTATGACCTGCTTTGGAGATGCATACAAGCATGAACATGTGTGTAAATACTACGCCACATAAAAAAAGATTGCAATACATGTCAAACTGCCAATAAATTCAGCACATATAAGGTACTGATTCTCAAGCAAACTTGAAAGACAGCAAACAGCAAAGCAATATTTTTTCTTTTTGCAAACGTTATGACTTCCCATTAATTCAGCCAGACAACCAAGAAAAAAAAGAATTCAAATGCCACATGCACCCGCATTTTCTTCTGCCATATATCCCCCCTCCTCTGCCCACTCTGTTACCTGTGCACCTCAGCACTGTCAGCACTCAGCTGCTTAGATAACGGTCTGTGAGTGTAGCTGCCCATAGAAGCCATGAGCGATGCTCGCTGCATCTGTATTTGGTTGGCACAAGGATTCACTGGGATAGCCCGCGAAGCTCCAGACATGTCTGATGGCTCTTGCACCTGGATGGTGACTTGCTGTGCAGACTGCTGCTGGTTCTGCTGCTGCTGAATGCCCATGCGAGGCAGTGTAACGCTAGCTGGAGGGGAGCCACTGCTAGAGGGCTGGTAAAGACCACTGTGAGAGGGCATCCCCTGATACTGAGTGGATGGTGGGGCCCCTGGGGAAAAAAATTAACCATTAATGATTTAGAATCATCCACTGAGTAAATAATGGCATACTTATTACATCAGGAAAGATACCATGTGTCTGGAGCATGGCACTGGAGGATGGCGGAGGACTGTTTGGCTGTCTGTAGAGGTGGTTGCTGGCTGGGTTTGGGGGAGGGCTAGAAGGCTGGATTCGCAGTCTGAAAGAGAAGGGAGCAACATTAACACTGAAGCACAAAAAGACCCTCCAAAGTATTAGTAGAACAGACAAACTTGGGTAAGTTGTATACAATAGCTTTCCAGTGAACATTCCATTTACATCCACTGTAAGATGTGTATAATCAGTCCAGCTTGTGCAGCTCTCCAGGATTCAGTCCCTACTGGGCATGTACCTGACAATGCATAATGTCAATAAAAGCTGCAGAAATCAAATATTTTCAACCAATTCTGACACTTCATACTAGGGATGCACCGATATATCGGCTGAAAATGGCACTTTGGCTAAATGCTGAAAGTGCCATTTTCCTGCCGATACATCGGCGCATCCGTGATTTATTTCCTTCCCGCTGGGCGCTGCTCTGTGTCCCAACGGGGAGGAGAGAAACTGTGACAGGCGGCAGAGCGCTGCGGGACAAGAGCGATGTGAGCGGCCGGTGTCTCTCCTCCCACACCGCTCGGCCGACTATCACAGTGCGGCAGAGCAGTGTGGGGGTGGACACAACGCTGTCACAGGAGGCTGGGCTCTTCTCTCGCACTGCTCACTCAGCCTCCCGTGACAGCGCGTCAGAGAGGAGAGCAGGCTACAAACACTCAGTGATCAGTGATTGCTGAGTGTTTGTAGATAATTGAGGATATGGTATGGTTAATATATCCTCAATTATGAATGAATGGGAGTGATCTATATCCACTTCTGTTCATTCATAATTGTGGTTATAGTAAACACACTCTGTCCTCATGTTATCAATGAACAGGAACACTCATAGAGGATTCCTGTTCATTGATAACAGGGGATACAGAAAAAGAGATTGAGGACTCTGTGTTCTCAATCTCTTTTTCTATTTTAAAAGGGAATTATCAGGTGTCTGTTTAGACCCCTAATATTTCCCAGTAGCCCCTAAAAGTAGAGTCAAAAATAAACAAATTTAATAAAAAATGAACAATTAAAAAAATTAAAAGTTTATTAAAAAACATTTAAATTAAATATTTTAAAAAATGTAAATAAAAACATTTTCGGTATCGGTTTCGGCCTGACAATTTTTTCTATTTCAGTTTCGTTTTTTAAATTTCTATTTCGGTGCACCTCTACTTCATACCCATTACCTTTGGTGGGTGTATTTAATATGATAAATGAACCTAGAGGTGTTAAGCTTTCCCTTGTTTACATATATGTGATAATAATTGCCTATATGTGACCCATCTTAGTAATTTAATGCAGATAATGTCATCAGTGTACGAAAATCTTTTAAAGTATGTATATCAATTTAAAGCTTCTCCATGGAGAAATCTACATTACCTTTTAATACAGGCAGGTTTATCCCAGATTGGCTGCACTTATTTTTCATTTGGTTCTCAATTCGCCATGTAGGAAAGACACATTACCTCTGAAGCTGGTGGGTAAGCAGGGCTGGCTGATTCTCGCCGGCTGTTACTATGGTGGCCGACTGAAGAGGAGGTGATGGTTGTGCAGAACGGATACAGTCCTGAAATGGAACAACAACTCTGTTATATCTGTCCTTATGGCAGCATTTTACTATTGAGAAAGAATTATGCGGAAGTGCAAAACTTGCCATACACAAGCAGATAACTCTGCCCAACACTTAAAGTGACTCTGCCATGAGAGAAGTGTGGGAGCTGCCATTCCAGGACTCCTTCTAAACATGCTAGATACCTGACTGTCTGACCTCAGTATGTTTTAGTCACTGTCCCAGAACAAGCATGCTGTAAATCGGTGTCAGAATTACTTACCTCTATACTTTTCCACATCAGTGACTCAAACAGCATTACAGTCAAAGCATCAGAAAGGCAGCCAGTATTCTCAAAGCTGAGTTTACTAATGGCAGCCCTTATTAATCTCTTGTGATGGTGTTCCTTTATGCTTTTTGGTTTTAGGTGGTCAAATCTCAGACAATGATGACCAAATTACTGGTGTATTAAATGTCTGCTCTGTGTGCGAACAATAGAAGTAGATGCACTGGAACCACATATATGCACTGCACTGGTGCTTGTACAACCAATTCCTTCATCAGAACCAACAGAAACTGAAGTGCATATAGCCTGTTAAGGCATGTAATTTACAAAGTGGATACAAAGGACCATTTGTAGGCAGCAGTGTGCATGTATATGAGTAACTTTTGTATGTATAAGAAACAAAATGTGGATGCTGCGATGCATGTGATATTCATAGATTGAAGTGTGTGTAAACATGAAGCAAACAGAAGGTAATACAAGGCAATGCTGCCCTTTTGTTGTAGGAGCATTCAAGGAAGCTGTAAAATCATCATCACCATTATAGTGCACACCTGGATGTGCTGCTGCAGGAAATGCTGATGATGCTCATGCTGATACATAATATGTTGCTGCTGAGTGTGTTCCAGAGTCCTCTCATCCATGGATATACCATACATCTTCTGAAGCTGCTCACACTCCTATAAAGAGGAAACATTTACTCAATTATCACATCACATACACTTATCACTAGACACTGGATGTGTTTACCACTTTAAATCCAGCCAACATTTGCGGTGATAGAATTTGAGAGTATGCTAGAGAACTTGTTGCATTGACTGATTCAGGACCCTTAAGGTGCCCATACACTTTACAACCCTCACAAGACTTTTGTCTTGTGAGGGTTGTAAAGTAATTTAAAAAAACGTACGATCTGCCCATCTTGGACGGGCAGATTGTACTTGCGATGACTGCAATGAGGGGCGGGCTTCCGATGACTGCAATGAGGGGCGGGCTTCCGATGACTGCAAACGGGCAGTGTGCACGTGCGCACACCGGCCCGTTCGGCAGTTTGCGAACAAGCAGGCCACTCATTCATTTCTAATCACCATATAGTGGGGAAAAAGGGGAGTAAAAGCGATGGACCTGCAGGGTTTGTCCTATTGGTGTGGCTGGCCAATTAAGATGCTGGTTGCATACCACACAGTTGTACATGGGGAGATGTTTTGCTTTGTATTGCAGGCTTCTTGGATTATTGGATGTTGAAGTGTATTTCTCATTTGATGGATGCGATTTGCATGATGTGTGGGACTATTGCTCTAAGTGTTTCCACCTGGGAGAAAGTTAATCTGTCTATATAAGAATCCCTCCTATGACCGCCCTCACCACGTCAAGGTAAAACATGCCTGAGTTCGGCAGCCACTATGCAGGGACATCACCATGTTGGCTGCTGGTCTTGAATAAACTATCTTTATTGTGACATCAGCAGTGTGTGGTGCTTTCATGGAGCACACGGCACCCGGACTGTGGAGCTTCTAGTGGAGAGGTGAAGTTCCTCTCCATCCTGTATACTATGCTATAGTACTTGTTCCATTGGCTGATTCAGAGCAATTAATCATCATTAAACATGTTTTTGCCTGCAACACACTTCACTCATCAAGTACTTACTACTATACACCAGGGGAAGGTAAACTCCTGCCCTCCAGCTGTAGAGTCCGTGAGGCATTGCACAAGTCTGGCAGCCAAAGGTATGACTCCCAGAGGCAGGTTCATGATGGGATTTGTAGCATCACCACAGCTGGAGAGCCAGAGTTTGCCTACCCCTACCATACAATATGGAGTGGAGTTGCTGGCCGTGGTTGCATGGTAATGTCTACCAACCTGGCAGCACTAAATTAAATCAATGCATCTTTGGTGTGGGTTACTGGTCTTAAATCAACAGTGGTGGCAGATCTTTTTGATGGGCCAAAATCTATTTAAAAAAAATACAATACAATTGTAATAAATACGGAACAGCAAGCATGCGTGGTGTTAAGTAATAAGGGGTGAAAGTGTGGATTATCTGAGAGCAGGGGAAGGGACATTTATACATTATGAAATATTGCCTAGTACAGAGATGTGTCTGTATGTAGTTTAGCCTTCAGTCTACATATAATGAATGCTCATTCAGTGAAGCAGCCAACAGTGATGATGATGACTGGAAATCTCTTATCAGCTGATATGACAGCAAAAAGAGCTGATTGGTTACCACCCCCTGAGCATCTTTATTGCCCTTTGCCCTGCTTGTGGGATAAACCTGAATAAAGATGCATGTTTGATCTGCAAGAGTCTATGTAACATGTATTAGCCGTCACTTGCCATGGTGATGGAACCGAGCATGGCACTCCACTAAAAAGGCAGTGCATGCAGATCACAACAATATCTTCAGCTTTTTTATCTCTTTGTGAATGAAAACTGAAGTGTTCCACCCAATTAGTGACAAACATTAAACAGGGATTCTCACACCTATTTTGTCACTGTATGACCTAGGGATGCACCGATGAAAAATACTAGTATCGATATCGGTGCCGATACAGAGTATTTGGGCGTGAACTCGTACTCGCCCAAATGCTCCAATGCCTAGCCCGATACTTCCTATGTGGAACTATAATGCCCTCACCTTATGTTTATGTATATATTTGCTCGATGTCATCCGACAGTTTATATTACTTACATGCAGATTGTTTTTTGGTCACAAGGTTATACTGATTTTACAAATAATACTAAGGCAAGCTTTCTTTAACCTGCCTATTTTCTTAAGTCCCCCTAAGCCAGCTACCTTGTGCCCCCCTTCCCGGCCTAACAACTGTTTAGAGCCCTGCCTTTAAACACATCCACAGAGTGCACATGCACCGTTCCACAAAAAAAAAACAGTCACTATATGGCTGCACTATCATCCAAAACTAAAAACTGTTGCACTTGTGGCAAAACAAATCCAAAGATTCATGCAAACATTTTGGCATGCAAAGTGCACATTCATTAATACGCAAGTGCTATAATAAATGCCCCTACTGCATGTTAGTAACAGTAACTAGGCAACTTTCTCTTAGGCCCTAGAACATATACACATGGAGAATGATACCTGCTGAAGCTGTTTGATGCTGCTGTTGTGGTGCCCAGTCTTTTCCAAGTGAGCTTTAAAGGCCTGGATTGTGGCAGCTCCATCAGAGAACCTACGTACTGGGGAGAAACGCTCAGCAGGAAGGTGAAGTGTGTTCGAATCTTTATACATGGAACTGAAAGCAGACAAATTCAGTCTTAAAATGAGCATTGTGGTAGACTTCTATATTCTAAACATACCCATTATGGTTAAGTATTAAAGGAACTCTGTCCCTTTGCTCTAGTAATTAGAGAATCCATGTTTATGTAAAGTTTTTTTTCCATCAGAAAGATCTCTCTGGGGCTGGACTGCGATAATGCCCTTATGTCCGTGTGTTAATTGATGTCTGTAGGTCGAGTGACAAGGTAACAGAATCTTGTGCACCCTAGTGAGCATAGCTGTAATTCTTACACCTCTCAATACTCTGCTCTTTACCAAACTCATCTAATAGACTTTAGTACCTATATACAACTTCCTCCAAGTCTGATTGATGTTTAACCATAGGGCTTTCTGTATGCGAGAGATATAAAGCACTGGTTCTCAACCTGTGTAACCTCAGGACCCACATTTGTCCTTGGTCATTAGTACTGCCCCATAATCTCTCTGGTCCTGCTATAAAGGAAATTACGGCAGAAATCAAGTAATGGTCAATGGTGACCATTGCCCTAGAAACAGTGTGACGGGATGGGAAATTGTATAATTTTGAGTTGTCCTCACAGTAAGAGGTGAGGGAACAGCAGCAGTAGGGACACCTGTCGTTTGTTTTGTTTTTTTTTTAAATCCTCTAAGATGGAAATTCTATCTGTGGGGAGATATCACTTAATTTCCTGTTACATCTCTGGAACAGGAAATTAAGTGAGATCTCTTCAGCAGGTCAAAGACATCAAAATATTACTCGATAGGGGCTTCCACCCTTCCCTACTTTATCAAACTCAAGAAAAGGAAAGTAAGGAAAAGGACAAGAAAAGAAAAGGACAAGAAAGGGAAAAGAAAAGGGACAAGAAAAGGAAGAAAGAAAGAAAAATAAAGAAAAAAATTGGCTTCACATACATGATAATGATTAAAAAATAACAACTGCACATTTTAATATATCTGGCTGGAGTTCAGTTTTAAGTATGCAGAAATTCTAAAAACAAAACATCCTAATACTTTAAAACAGCTCATTCAAAGATTTTGCAACTTAAGGCCAACCACATCCTCTTGTTTACTTATAGCAGAACAAATGTCCTGAGAGGTTAAAGGGAAAAATAAAGCCAGGATTTTGCACAAGGTCACAACTCAGCTGACTCTGCTGAGAAAACACTGCACCCCCTCCTCTATTTGCTCCAGCGTGGCAATCAGTGGGCGTTGGACAAAGTTTGCATGCTTACGTATACATTGACTGGTCAAAGGTTGTAGGGAAACGTTGCAGCACGCTTCCCAGGAAAATGCAGGGCATTTTGCTCTCCAATCATTAATACACAACAACAATCGATACATACATTCCAGATGGACAGATTTAAAGAAACAGGATTCAATTTTGAATTATAACTAAAATGTCAAAATCTACATAACAGCTTCGGCAATATTCCTGGCGAGCGGTGACACTGGTGCAAGGCTTGAGATTATATCTATACCATTCTGGTGTACCAATGGCTTCAGGACATTGCTGTTATACAATGTGAAGGATTTGCATACATGTTAGAATACTATAGAGAAGGGTTAACAGAGGAGATCCCCCCATTTTGTCCTGGTGACCATTGTCACCAGGAGTGAAAGTAAGGGATAGTTGTCGCTGTAACCAAGTGGGGACACTTGGTTACAGTGACAACTATCCAAAAGAGGTTTTCGTCTCACTTCCTGTTATGTCAATGGGAACAGGAAGTGATGGTAAATCTCACAAATGAAACACAGACAGGAAAAAAGGAAAAAAATCACTGTTCTATCCTCTATCCAAACATGTAAAAATAGGTTTTTGTTCTTACCGTAAAATCCTTTTCACGGTGTCCATTGAGGGACACAGCGCTAAAGACTTCTGATATTTAGGGTTATGCTGTTGCCTCTAGAAGAAATTAGAGGCAGTAGCATAACCCCACATTTCGGAATTGGTCAGAGCTGTGTCCCTCAATGGACAATAGAGAAAATAAGATTTTGTTCTTACTGTAAAATCCTTTTCTCTCAGGGCCCAGTCACACCATATTCAGCGCGTTCCGAGCTTGGAGCGCACTGGATCGCATAGATCAGGTTAGGCGCGTTCTGGAGCTTAGTGGTGCCATTTATGTCAATACCACCACAGACACGCCCCCCCCCCCCCCCCCCCCCCCGCACCGTTACTTGAGGTACAGAATGCCCTCCGTTCCAGTGCAGTGCGATCAGAAAAGATACAGAGGGCAATCCTGTACCTCGTGTTCTGGTGCGGGTGATTGACATGAATGGCACCGCCAAGGCCTCTCCTGCCCTAGCCTGATCTATGCGATCCAGTGCGTTCCGAGCTCGGACCACGCCGGAATTCACAGGATATGGTGTGACTGGACCCTTAGTCCATTAAGGGACACAGCTGTATAGAATTCCAAAATGCAGGGTTATGCTGCTGCCTCTAATTTCTCCTAGAAGCAGCAGCATAACCCTGCGTCTCAAAATTCTGCAGAGCTGTGTCACTCAATGGATTATAGAGAAAGAAACTTTTTGGATCTCAGTATACTTTTGAGCAAAGAGGCCACTGCAGGAACTGTGCATTCTGTAGCTCCCCCACTGCAGTGATCTACTACCTTAGTAGTATGGCGATTGTGTTTCGGCTATACTGTGCCCATTGCTCCATGTATTCAGATTGCTGTTAGGATGTACTTACCGGTGCTGGTCGGGGACAAGGTGAGGGGGCCAAATTCTATTTCTAAAAGACTGCTGCCCCAGTTGTCGCTGTAGTTCTGGAGGAATCTCAGCTGTAGGACAAGTCATGGCCAATGTGTGTCTCTTGGTGCGATTAGCAAGATACCTAGAATACATGTATACTGGTTAGTTCTACAACATTATCTGATAAATCAGGGCAGCATTAATATGTGAAATATAAACTGATCTGTGCTGGCATCTAAAGAATGGAATACTCCAAATCCATACAACAATTCAATAACAAAAAATATACTGTACATAATTGTTTTATTTTTAATTTCAGAAAAACTATTTGACAGTCAGTCAAAAGGAATTTGTATGTTATTCCCATGTTTCCTTGCGTTTTCCCTGAGTGTCTCCCTTTCCCCATACAACCCAAAACACCACATTGGTAGCTCAAACTCTCAAGTCCTCTTACTGAATCTATCTGCATTATTGTGGTAAGGATATTAGACTGAAAGCTTCTTAGAAGACACACTCATGAGAATCACCAATATTCTACAGCATTTGGCAGAGCCATATTATACAGGACAGTACACAGAGAAAAAAAAGAAACCGTTAAACGCTATACAAATATGCCACCTAGTGTTGAACTAAGAAACTGCATACACATTGTATAAGTTCACTAGCTTGATGGGTTTGGTTCAATCATTCAAAGGAGGATTAGTTACCGAGTTTAAAGCCCATTTCCCCCTTTGTGGAGGCACTTTTAAAAAAAAACATGCCAGCAGTGTACACTGAGTGTACATGAAGCAGACATATGCCGTTGCTGTATATGAACACAGAAGCTTACATTTTGTGTTAGCCTTCATAACCTCATGAAAAAATGGCTGCCTCCGTGCTTTGCAAGAAATATGTTAAAGTTACCACTCAGCTCTCTCTACCCCTCATCAATTAGTATTCATAGTGGTGACCGCCCCCCCCCCCTTCCCGGACAGTGTATTGTGAGCAAAGGCAGAGCTGGCGTTTAGTAATCGTGTGACACAGAATCACAGGGAGGGGGGCAGCTGTTTACCACCTGCTTTACAATCCGACCCGTGTCAGACAATGTCCTGTGGAGAACATTTTGAATTTCTAGGACTCAGGCATACTAAAAATTCCATAAAGAAAATGAAGAAAGCCTGTAATGCGAGTCATGAAATGTGCACACATATACATCATTACTGCACCTCTTCATCACCCCAATAAATGTTAATCACTTAGAGATGGAAATAGACCTTAAAAAGGTGCCCAGACCCTATTTAATGAAAATCTTCCAAGCTAAAATTCCAAGCAAATATTGGCTCTTCCTACTAGGGGAAACCATAGGTGTGACTCAACACTGCGATGTAAAAGTGGATTCACAGAGTGTAATTTAAAAACAGGCAACTATTTAAGCTGACTATTCAATAATTCCATTATGAATAGAGAAAGGTGACTTTGTTAAGGCAAAAATCACCTACATTATAGCTTAGTAAATTGAGGCTAAAAGAGGTCATATTGAAAGACCATGCCCTATTTAAAAGGATTTGTTTACTCATAAATAATGCTGCAGCTCGCGGTATACTGAGCTTAGTGTGACGGGAGGACGCTAGTTTGTGTCCTCCCGTGACTCTTAGGAGAACTATGGGGAAAAGCATTGACCCCATAGTTCTCCTTTTATATCACTTTAAAGATCTATACAGTATAGGTTTTATACCTGATGTCATTCCAGATTCACTCTAAATCCAGAGGGCCTAAAGTATTTGGATTCTGAAGGGAAATGTGTTGTGCACTTCACATAGTCACATAACAGGCTTCAATTTCCAGAACCAATGAATGAAGTATAGAATCTGAACTTTTCATTTGGGTATTTTAAACTCTCCTTTTAGAATGAAATCTCAATCATCAAAAATGTGTTTTACTGGAACACTGACATCTAGAGGTCAGTTTATGTACACTACTCATTCCTTTTGGTGTCCTTACTCATTTAGACTTTTCTGTCAGAAAATGTTTTATACATTTATTGTATTATTTCTTATTAATTAAAAATAGGGCTGGTAATGATTAAAATTTTCGTGTTCGATTAATCAAAATTCTTTTTAATCGATTAATTATAACGCACATACAGATCCAACTATACATTATGTACACACACACAGCAATGAAGTAATAAAATGAACTAGGATCACAATAATCCAGCACGTTATTAATCTCACGTGCCCCACTCAATATGGCCGCCGCATGAGTGGGGCAACCCAGAATAATAACGTGCTGGATTAGTGTGATCCTAGTTCATTTTATTACTTCATTGCTGTGCTGTATGTGTATAGGCCAATGCCTTGGCTAGCGCAGAAAGTTTCAAAAACATTTTAATCGATCAAAAAGATTAACGATTAATCGAGAAATGAATCGTTAATTTGCACAGCCCTAATTAAAAACACTGTAAAATCTTACATTGCCTTCTCAGTAATTTTGTGTGGAACTAAACATGCAAAATGTGCATTCTATTACATAAGTATCTCCGCCTGCATAAATAAACCTGGCATATTAGAAGAAAAAGGAAGTAGAAAAATGAATGTAAATAAAACATGAAAGTTTCACTTTTAAATAACTACATTGCAAAGTAAATAAAGCTGCAAAGGCAAGTTGTATGAGGGCCGGTGCACACCTAGGTGACACCTGACCGTGCACAATTCCGCGCGGATTGCCGTGCGGTCAGGAATCGCCAAGGTGTGAACCGATTGCGCTGTCTGTGCCATTATTTTCTAATAGCACCCCAGCCGTGCATTGCGCATCGCAAAAAAAAAAGGTACATGTACCTTTTTTCTGCGATTGCCGTGCGGATGTCACCCCATTGAAATCAATGGGGCTGCGCGGCAATCGCTGCCTGCATTGTGCAGGACCGCGCGATCCTGGATCCCAGAGGTCTGCACAGGGCCTTAACTGGACTGCCGATCAGCAGTATATGTCAGCTATAAAGGGGTAGGTTCATTTACCTTTTGATATATATGATTTTAAAGAAAAATGAATTCCAAAAATCTCTACGTGAACCGCAGCTACCTGATTAGAATATAACTGTCAAAATACTCAAGGGCAACCTTGTGAAGATAGATATGAAAGCTGCCCTTATTGACTTGTTTTCACTTGTGCAGGCCTGATGCCTGATGGCCATCATTCTTATCCGTGGTATGCTATTTAGGAAATCAATCTAGAACAAGATTGAAGGACAGAATTTTAGACTTCCTGTCTGCTTGTTCCAGGCAGCAACATAAGAATTAGGACGTCAAATCGAAAAGCCTGCATCTTAAAAAACAACAAGTCAGTAATGGGAGCACCTAGATTTTTATCATCATTGGTTTACTATAAAGTGGACTGAAACTATTTTCAGCCCTTCGCTAATCTAAAATGCAAAGGTGTGAAATATTTACCTAGTAGCATCTCCAGTCTTCTACTCAGCCTCTAAAACCAGAGCAGAGCCAATATCCACACAAAAGTGTGTCAGGTACTGAAGACACCTCAGTGGTCAAAGCTCTTGAAGACAGCAAAGTTTGGACTTGTCCTCCAGGAAGTTTTATTGGAAAAGAAACTCTATACTCCTCTTGCTGGAATAAACTCTTGCCTTAAAGTGCATTTCCACTTCTGCTGCCAAATACGCCTAAAAAAATATTTTAAAAATGCTTCTTGCAGTTTAAACTGTTTATACTTGGGTTAGGGTTTTAAGGGCTAAAATGTATTCTTGCTTATCTTTCTTTGCAATGTTTGGAGGGGCTGTGAGGGGGTTCTGAGGTGGTTCATCCGTTGTATTTTAATTAAGTGAATGAGAGAAACACAATCCTCAAATTTCAGCCCAAATTATTTCCATTAGGACTGAGAAAAACCTGGAATCAGCCATTTTGCCTTGCCTTAACAAAATATCTTAAAAGGTAAGACTTTGTTTTTTTATTATGCTGTGTGAATAAGATCACATAAACATATAGGGGGGATTTATCAAATTTGACTGCAAAAGTGGAGATACACCAAGTTCAATGTTTTCTCAGGGGTTTTAGTACCCCGAGAATCACAAGAGTCCATCCAGGATGACAAAAAGAAGATCAGTCTTTCTAAAAGCAGTGGCATTTAATAGAATACAAGGCAGAGTCTGGACAAGGGGCGTTTGGACATCCTGATCCCACTTGTCCAATCTCAGAACGCCTTGTATTTAAAAAAAAAAGAATACGAGAAATTTTCTGAAAGAATAAGAAGCTGCAGAGCGCGAGTGATCCACTGTAATTGCTGTGCTCCAGCCTCCAATGCCCATATTACTGCCAGAACTTCAGCGGAGACATCACTGGCAGGGGCTGCATGTAAGTAATATTTTTCAAGACATACACAGCAGCCACCAGTGAGGCCCTCATCAGTAGAGGTACTTTAATGGTACCCAGTTAAGTGCTAACACTTTAAATGGTGCCCCAATAAAGTTAGCCCACACTTGAGCTTTAAGACTCTCTGTCCCTCAATGGACAAGAAAGAAATAGAGACGTTTGTATCCGTTATAAGATCTGGGAACTTTAAAAGGAGAACTATGGGGTCAGTGTTTTTCCCCATAGTTCTCCTTAGGGTAACGGGGGGACACAAACTAGCGTCCTCCCGTCACCCTAAGCTCAGCATACCGCGAGCTGCTGCTCGTGGTATACTGAGACACCGCAGCTGAAGCGGATCCTGACAATTATGTCTGGATCCTCCCAGAGCCAGCTGTACCCGCCAGTCCATTCCGCCAGTCAGCGCTGGAGGATCGGAGCGGGGAGGATCCAGAAGTGAGCGAACCACGGTATGTGTTCGCTCACTTCCCAATCTACTGAGCCGACCTATGACAGTCTCATTGTCACAGGTCGGCTAGAACTATGAGGTGAGTAAAAAGCACTCACCTCATAGTTCTCCTTTAAAGAGTAATTGTGCTGGAAAAGATTGAACCATGTAAGTAAACTGGTGTGGTTAATCGGTCAGTGTTTTTGCTCATGTAATTCCAGTTAAGCAGGAAATGCCTTGAAAAAGAATTGAAAAATGATAAAGTTCACAGAAATCTCATATGTGTTTGAGTTACCTTTGCACAGCCTCCTGGTCAGGCTCTCCATCTGAGCTCTCTTCATCCACTGGGGTAACTGCAGGCACTGCCTATGACACAAAGCAAAACATAAAGCAATCAATAAACCTTATTCGTGGGGCCACATTTCTATTTCAGATCCATATTCCCAAATGCAAAGCTCTGTGGTCATTTTTACTAAATCCTAAGTTTGTTTTTTTAATTTGACCTCTACTCAAAATGTAAAAAAATTTATCCACATTTACAAACAACTGTCACTAAGCAATCAATTCTAACGTCACTGTAAACTGTTTATTCAGCATACAGTACTTCCTGAGGAGGAACGTCAACAACAAGGGTGTGGACATTTAAGAAAAAAACTACTTGTCCAAGGACTAAAGCGGGGGCCCAATCTACTTGTCCCTCATGACAAACTTGTGATACAAAAAAGGGGAAGGTCCGTTCACCAAAAGGTAACTGCATCGAATTTTACACCCCTGCAACAATCAACCAGTGCTACCGAATTCATACATTAATACATCAGTTGTTGGCTCTCGGGCGTGCACTACCTTATCCCTCTCTGAGCAGTAATGACATCACACCAGTGTTCATCCCCATACAAGTGTCGTTAGTCTTGAAGCTAGTGTTAAATTCCCCTCTTCCCAGACTCCCAAAAGGTAGATCCCACCCTCCACCTGGACAGGAAGAATACCAGTATAGGTCACACCGCCACATCAAAACTGTATAAACAATTATTATTTGAAGCCAGTTTTTTTTTAATAAAGAGAGATTTCTTGTTGGAAAGGGCTATTGCTATTACACTCTTGGTGCTAATGAAATCACCACACTTGCCTTCTGCTTTAAACATGTACACTTTCTGGCATTTGCAGCATTACGCCATACATGGTAGTAATATATCTGTGCCCATTATGTTATTTACATTACCAAATAACTATTGTAAAAGACATAAAAAAGGCACTGAAGTAATATGTATAGCTGCTTATTTTGCAAAAACAAAAGGTGCATCTACTTTTCAGAACATTTCAGACACCAGGAATTTCAAGAAGCCATGGCGCCACATCTGACCCATGCACTGTCTAGGGATGTCCCGATACCGATGCTAGCATCGGAATCGGGCCCGATACAGGGCATTTTGACAAGTACTTGTACAAATGCCCCGATGCCTCGCGCCGAAGCTTGCGCTGTTTTTTGTCTTTTTTTTTTCTTACCTTCCGTGGTGGCTGGGGTCCTCTGGGAAGGCTGGAGGAGCGTCACATCACTGCTGTGGGCGGAGCTCCAGGTGGGGTCTAATGTAGTTGGCCGGTGACCTGGAGCTCCGCCCACAGCAGTGACGCGACGCTCCTCCGCTCCTTCCGTGGTGGCTGGGGTGCTCTGGGAAGGCTGGAGGATCGTCACGTGACTGCAGTGGGCGGAGCTCCAGGTGGGGTCTAATGTAGTTGGCCGGCGACCTGGAGCTACGCCCACAGCAGTGACGCGACGCTCCTCCGCTCTGCCGCTCAGCGCCGCCGACGTCGTCCTCACATGAGAGGAAAAAAAGGTATCGGCAGCTCGTGAGGCACCTCCATTGCACAGGCACCATCAAGTAAGGGCCTGTGTTAACAAGACACCCAGCTTGTCCATTTGTGCATGTTAGGTGAATGAGAAGGGTAGACAGCTGTGACACCACTTATTTTGGCACTAGGGGACATCTCTCATGGTTATTTCCCTTTATTCTGGGTCCAAGAATGGCTGATTCTTTCTGTGAACTTGAGATTGTTATCCTGATCAGTTGATGACTTTCTCTTGTCCATGGTTACCTTAAACCTTTATCAGCTGTACCTCATGCATCAGATCTGAAGGAAGAAGAAAAGATTTGTTGCCCATTGCAGCTAATAGTCGCATCATTCCGTTCTACCCAGTGATGCAATAAGGACAACTAGAACTGGATTGGTTGGCACGGGCAATGTATTGACTTTCCTCCAGTGTTCTACAAGAGTTCAAATGTTTATTACAATCCATGTTGCTGTAAAAGTGTTTTAGTGTCAGCACCAGGGCTGAACCAGATTGTATGAAGGTTCATGCAGCTCAATGCACCTCATGTTCACAGTTCTTGACTATTTAATGGTTTGATTTAAAAAAATAAAATAAAGTAAGGGCCTGTGTTCAAATCATGTTTGGAATCGGATAGATCATGTTACTATCTATGGATCATGATTTTAAACTAATACTCTATATGAAGTACACACTATAGTACACACACTATTAGTTTAAATCATGATCTATAGTACATACATAATATGTACACACACCATTAATAGTCTACATATTATGTATGTACTATAGATCATGATTTAAACTAATAGTGTGTGTACTATAGTGTGTACTTCATATAGAGTATTAGTTTAACATTTTAAAGTTTTATTGCCATATACTATGATTGCATTTCATACCCACATCATGACTTACTATACTGCCATAGCACCTCTGTCAACCTTTTACAAATACTGTCTGAACTAGGAAAGCTTGTTAATAGAATAAACTTAAAGGCAATACTTCTGAGCCACCGAACTGCTAGATTCTGTTTGGAGGTGTGATGCTATAGAGAGTTCCTATAAAATGTGTTATCCAATCAGATAGTACTGTACTATGGACTGTACTGTACTATGGATCATGATTAACCTAATCATGTTATCAGGGGCGTAACTAGAAATCACAGGGCCCCATAGAAAAAGTATCGGTAATTGGTATCGGCAAGTACATGAGGG